TCCGGAGGCTGGAAGCCCAAGACCAAGGTTCCAGCCCATCTGGGCTGCTGTGAGAACCCTCTGGATGGCTTGTCCACGGCCACCTTCTAGCTGCATGTGCCCACATGGTGAAGGGAGAGAGCGTGAGCTCTCTGCCATCTCCTCCTACACGGACACTAATCCTATTGGGTCAGGGCCTCACATTGATGACCTGATTTAGCCTTAACTACTTCCTCAGATTCTACATCCAAATACAGGCACGTGTGTGGGGGGGCAGGGCCTCCACTGTAAGTGGGGGGGCACGACTCAGTCCATAGCACGGCTCTTGTCAGGGTCATCCATCACCAACCTGCATGGGGGGCAAACTCAGGGGTCCGTTCTGAGGCCTCCCTACTGGACTGCTGGGCATGGGACACAGCCGGCTCCCTTTCCTCCTTGGCTGCTGAGACTCACCCCCCTGCTTCTCCTCCGTTACGACTGTTTCTCCTCATTCTCTCCATCTTCCCAAACTGTTAACCTTGCCACGCCCTGGTGCTCAGCCCTGAGTTTTCCTCTTTCTGCCTCCACTCACTCCTGAGGCGGCCCCAGCACAGCCCTGTTCACCGATGCCCACGCATTTACACCCTCGTCTTGGAGTCTCGCCAGTGTGCCAGCCCCGTCTAGCCGGCTGCTCCCCACTCAGCGCCTTCACAGGCGTCTCACACTCAACCTGCCTGCAACCAACGCCCGCCTTCCTCCCCCCCGGCCCACCTGCTGTCCCCACGGTCCCTGCATCTCGGGGCCGCCAGCTCCCTCCATCATGTGGCTCGGGACCGAAACTTTGCCATCGTCCCTCACTTCTCTCTTTCCCTCACAGCCCTGGTTCTACGCGCGTGTGCACATCCTTTTGGCTCCGCCTTCAGGATATTCAGTCCAACCACACGTGACCACGTGGCCGCCACCTTCGTGTTCACCCAGAGGGACCGCAGCACCTTCCTGACAGTCCCCCAGTCACTGCTGTGGGGGGCCGAGGGACACTCTTCTCCCCCAGAGAGGTCTGCGTCCTAATCCGTAACCTGTGAATCTGTCACTTTATGTAGCAAAAGGGACTTCACAGATGTGATTCGGTTGAGGACCTGGATTATCCAGGTGGGCCCAAGGTCCCCCCTTCTGAGAGGCAGGCAAGGACAGAGGGCAGGAGGTGATGTCACAATGGCAGCAAATGTGGTGCGACCTGGGGCCGTGAGCCCAAGAATGCGGCAGCCTCTAGAAACGGATTCTCTTCTAGAACCTTCAGAGAGAACACAGCCTTGCCAGCTCAGACCTCCCAAACAGTAGGGGAATAAATGCATGTTGTTTTAAGCTGCTAAGTTTGTGGTAATTTTTTTACAGCAGCCACAGGAAGCTAATGTGCACCCTTGATGTGGGCCACAAAGCCCTGTGTGATCTGGCCCCTGTTAAACCCCTCTGACTCATCTCTTTCCTCTCCTCCTTACTGCCCTGCCCCCCCTCCCCTCCCCCCCCACCGTCTGCCTATGAGCCTTTGCACCTGCTTCCTGGGATGACCCCCCCCCCCCCCCCCCCCCCCCCCCCCCCCCCCCCCCCCCCACAGATCCACCTGCCTTGTTCTGGCCACATGCTACCTCATCAGATGCTTTTCTAACCCCCTTCTAGAAATTGTAACTCTGATGCCCCCTTGCACCCTGCATACCTGTATCACTATGAGTACTTGGCACATACATCATATTATCTATTTCTCTGTTTTCTTCCATGAAAATGTAGCCCCATTTATATGTACTGCCTACCCTCAGTGCCTATACTAAGTGTGCTGGTGTGGTTAACACTCTACAGATATTTGTCGGATGGAGAGATGAATGAATGAATTTTACAGATGGGGAGACTAAGATCAGGGAAGGTGAATACATTGAGCATGGCGTCTCCCACATCCACTGTTCCAAACTGCCTCCGCTGGGCAGCCGTAGGCACCTTTCCAAGGTTTATCTCTCAGGCCTGGGTCTCAATCCAGGTTTTGCCAGGTTGTGTTCACCTGACCCCAGGCTGGCGTCTTACCCACTCAGCTTCTACTCCCTGGTCTGTTAATGGATGAATGAATGAATGAATGAATGCGTGGACGCCATTGGTTGGGAAAGCCCTGCCGGCTAGAGGGCCAGGCCCAGAGCGGTGAGAGACTAATGGGGAGCAGGAGGGGCCCGCGAGGCCAGGCCGCAGGCGCCGGGGGCTCGGGGCTTGGCTCCAGGTCAGAGTGGGGAAGCCACGTGGCGGGTTTAGGTGGGCAGAGGCCTGATCTAATCCTCACCCTATAAAAGACCCTCGGGGCAGCCAGAGAATGGATTGCAGTAGCGGAGAGGACACTGCCATGGTCCAGTTAGAGGTGCTGGGGCTGGCTGATGGGGCAGGAGGGGACCCCGAACATGGGATCCGAGTAGAAATGACAGGACACACTGACACGTAAAATGCAGGGTGGGGAGCAGGTGGGATTAAGGAAGAAGACAAGGGGTTTGGAAAAAGCTCTCAAATGGGGGTGGGCAGTGACCCTTGCGCTCTCCTTGCTCGGGCACAACAGGGAGATGCATAGGCTACCGTGACGGGACAGGCCGGGGCTCTAGTGCTCCAGCGAGGGCCCTGGGATCCGGTCTCTGTCTCCTCACTCTCTCCTCCTGAGTTGGCATCGCTCTCAGGCAGGCCGCCCCACACGGTGCCCGTGGCCAGCAGCAGCCCCAGGCTGGCATCCGTCAGGACGTCAAACCCAACAGAAAGAGGGTTTTTTTTTCCCCCCTAATATTTCCGTAACACAAGTCCTAAGTGGGCCTCCCAATGGCCAAGCTTGGACCACACGCCCAAACCCGAACCACTGAAACCGGAGGCTGGCTGGCAGGGCTGGGCCCACGTGCTTGTCTTTGAGCCACGTGCATGGAGAGTGGGGGAGGGGGTTCTCCCATGGGAGATGGGACCCCGGGGAGGGGTTAGATGGGGGACGGGCAGACAAGAGCCATCACTGGTGCCCTTGCACAGACTGACGTCTTAGGGATTTTCCGAGGCAAGGGCCTGACACAGCGCTGGCTTGGGGGATAATGGCTGGTGTGGTGCCTGGACCGTTATTTTCGGGTAGTCCCGGCCTCCTGCCTTCCTGGGCCTGATCTGGGCAGGCTTCTCCCTGCACTCTGGCACAGGATGCCAGGCCTGGGCCCTGACCCTCCAGCCGGGGTGAGCTGCTACCCCACCAGACACCTGCCCTTTCCTGCCTGTATCTAGAGCTGAAAACGCCATGACTTTTGTGCTTCCGCAGCCCCAGGTGCTGCGTGGCAATGTCTGCCGAGACTGGGGCGCCCACCTGCTCTACTAATAGCAGGCTCCTTACCTGTGGTCCCTCCCCGGATCTCAGCTGTCCCCTCACCTGCCTGCCCAGGGAGCCGGGAAGGTTGCGCTCAGCTTGGGTAGGGGGCCTCGAGATTGGAACTCAGCCTCTGCCTACCCCCCTTTCCTTGGGTGGGGGTGCCCAGCATCTGCTCGGCTGAGCAGCTCCGGGGGATCGGCAAGGTTGTCTCTGGCTCTTGCTGTTATCCATCCTGTTGGAGTCCGTCTCTGGCTTCACATTTGTCCCCAACACCCCTCTAACCACCCCCCCCCCCATGGTGGCACTCCATGCCTTAATCGGGTCACTTTAGTCCTGATCTAGCGCACCCGTGAATGCAGACGCCCACTGCCAGGCCTGAGTCCGACGCTCTGATCCCGGACGGCTGGGGAGCGGTGGGAAAGCGAATTCCCACAGGACAGTCAGGGCAGGCCCCGGGTGCACACGGCCTCCCGCCCCCACAAACCGAGCCTGCGCCCCTCAGCTCCGTGGGCTTTCACCAACGCCACAGACCACGGGTCCATTTAAAAATCATTTTATTATTAACATCATCTTCCCATTTAGCCAAGTGTCTGTCATGTATAAGGAATGTCGGTAAATATTCCATTTGAAGCTTCTTTGTACATATTTCCATCGATAAATAAACTCTGAATTCACATAAAAAAGTTAAACTTAAATAGCTCCTATTCCCTTCTCTTGTAACAGGCATATATCGGTGAAATATAAATATTCTCGGACTCAGGCTTTGTTCTAAGTGAGGAGAGGAATTCATCACATGGTACAGTTATTGACAACGAAATCGAGAAACTGTCAGCTGGTGTCCTGGCTTCGACTAGGACTGAGGTGGGAACCAGAAAATTCACGTTTGGTTTCCCGGCCGAGGTTGGGGGAGGCGTGGTGATGGGGAGGAGGGTTTTCTTTACAGCTCTGATAAAAATAATCTGCTCTGCCACTGAACTTCAACTTTGAATATATTCTTCTACATTTGCTCATTAATTCCATTATCGTTTTACTTAAAACTCGGATGTCAGCTAACAGAATATGGCACATAATTCATTTTGAACAATGTCGGTGGGTTCGGGAACTATCACTGGGCTGGCCAAAACAACAACAGAAATGCAGGTGGAGAGAGCGATGATCGGGGCGTGGTGTTTGGTTAGTTCGCTGTGGTCAATCGCACGTCCGGCCATGGCCTCGGGGCTCCCGGGCCTGAGGGGCAGTGAGGCTGGCAGGTGCCTGCTCAGAGCACCCGGGGGATGATGGTGAAGGGCACGGCGGGGCTGCTGGCCTCCAGCTCCAGGGCCGTCAGGAAGCACTCGGTGGCCGCCGCGTCGTTGCCCTGAGCCTGAAGGACCTCGCCCAGCCCGTTCCAGACCTCGTGGGCCGTCGAGTTCACCTGCACTGCGTCGCGGAGGATCTTCTCTGCCAGACTGTAGCGGCCCAGCTGATGAAGGATCAGGGCCTGCAGGCATCAGACAGACAGACAGACAGACAGACAGTCAGAGAGTCTCCGCGGCTCGAGGCTCTTACCTCTCCTGGAGTTCCTGCAAGTGTCTGGGAGGCTGGATGAATCCCCGCTGGGCTGGGCACATGGTTAAGTTTGGACCTCCTCCCGCACTCAGGGGCAATGTTCAACAGAGTTGCTTGAACTATATGAAGTTGCCCATGTTCAGCTGTTTTGTTGAAAGAGAAAAAATGGTAGTTTCACACGGGTTCATCTTACTATTTAACCCCGGGGAGCGAACCAATCTGAAAGGCCGGTCTGGACTGGCCCACTGGGCCATCCTGGGTGGACCGGCTGATGCGTAATGGTTTTTCTAACCTAGAGAAACGTCATTTGTGGCATTACTATGGTGGAGGCTAGAACAGACTTTTTTTTTTTTTTTTTTTTTTATCGCTCGTAGTCTCTCTACCATAAACAAGCCCCTGCCTTCATTGTCCCCTGATCCCCACAGGGGAAAACTGTGTCATTTTACACAGTTTTAATTAGGATGTAGGTGTTGGTCCCTAAGTATTTACCATAACCATGTTTCTTCGTTACACATCTCTATGACCAATGTTTTTGTATTCTTTCATCCGATGATACATTTATTCTCTTTACTCAATCTCTCCCTCATGGGGCACACACTGATGCTTGGTGCCCACTTTCTCTGCTGTTTTTTTTTTTTTTTTTTAACTTTATTTTTTTAGAAGGACAGAGAGGGTGTGAGAGAGAATCTAAAGCAGGCTTAAGCAGGCTCCATGCCAAGCATGGAGCCCAACACAGGTCTCGATCCCTCCACTCCGGAAGTAAGACCTGAGCAGAAACCAAGAGTCAGACGCTCAACAGACTGAGCCACCAGGTGCCCCTCTCGTTGCTATTGTAAACCATGCTGCGATGGTCTTTCCAGTCAGTGCCTCTGCGCTCTTACGGAACCTCAGTTCTCAGATCTCTTCCACAGCCCTGCTAACCTGTGGGTAAATGGAATCTTACTGAGAATACCCACATATTCTGGGGGGGAGGGGACAATGGGCTGGGGGCAGAGGCCTCTGTGGGCTCCTCACAGCAGCCCTGGATGGGGCTCAGTACAACCAGCTTGATGACAGCTCAGAGACTCTTCCTTTACAGCAAATTTCCGCAAAATGACCTTGACTTGGTCAGAGGATGTGACTCTTTTTAAGTTCTCCAAATACTCTGTAAATTACATCCCTAAAGGGCTGTGTCAGTTTTTTTTTAATAATTAAAAAAATTTTTTAAAAATGTTTTTAATGTTTTTTATTTATTTCTGAGAGAGAGAGAGAGAGAGGAAGAGAGAGAGAGAGAGGAAGAGAGAGAGAGAGAGAGAGAGAGAGAGACAGCATGAGCAGGGGAGGGTCAGAGAGAGAGACACACACAGAATCTGAAACAGGCTCCAGGCTCTGAGCTGGCTGTCAGAGCCCTACACGGGGCTCGAACCCATGAACTGCGAGATCATGACCTGAGCTGAAGTCAGATGCTTAACCGACTGAGCCACCCAGGTGCCCCTAATTAAAAAAATTTTTAATGTTTCTTTTTGAGGGAGAGAGAGAGCACAACTGGGTGATGGACGCACACACACACACACACACACACACACACACACACACACACAGAATCCGAACCAGGCTCCAGGCTCCGAGCTGTCAACACAGCCCGATGCAGGGCTCAAACTACAAACCATGAGATCATGACCTGAGCTGAAGTCAGACGCCTAACTGACTGAGCCACCCATGCGCCCCAGGCTGTGTCATTTTCTGAGTCACCAGCAGAATTCTAGTGCTTGGTCCCCTGTCCCCCACTATCATTACTCTTCATGTTTGCTAATTTTGTAAGTGCAGAACGTCCCTCCTTAGTGAAACCTGCATTTCTTTCATAACAGTTGAGGTTGGGGCGCCTGGCGGCTCAATTGGTTGAACATCTGACTCTTGATTTTGGCTCTGGTCATGATCCCAAGGTCATGGTCAAGCCCCATGTTGGGCTCTGCACTGAGTGTGAAGCCTGTTTAAGATTCCTTCTCTCCCTCTGCCCCTCCCCACCTCCCGCTCTCAAAAAAATAAAAATTAAAAAAATCCAACAATTGAGGTTAAAGATTTTCCGTGCTTTTGTTTACAAGCCTTTTAGAAGACTGCTATTTATCTGCTAGCATGATTGTCTAGATTGTTCTTTACCTTTTGAGATTTTTTTCTTTGAACAAAAGTTTTTAGTTTTTAAATTGGATTTGTTGAAGTTTAGTGGTTTTTTTTTTCACTTCAAAGCTCTAAGAGTTATACTTTCAAAGGACTGACGCATGTTCAATTCCACTTTGTTAAGTAGTTGTCTGCTTTATCTTGGTGGATAGGAATCTACCTGGATTTCTTCTCTGCTGGACACAAACTAGCTACCCCTCCCTCCCCTGCACTCCTGTGAGGCGCTGCCCATCATGAAGTGAATTATTACATGAAACACAGGGGCCTTCTACAACTTTCCAGTGAGCCCTCCCCCACCCTGCATCAGTACTGTGCTGTTAAGACTGTGGTCACTCCACATCATGTTTTAACGGCAGGGTGGGGACGAGAGCCTCTCTTTCTTCCCTTTGCTTTTGAGTATTTGCACCATTGTGCCCTGTACTACACCAGATGAACTTAAGAATCATTTTGTTCATTCTCTTTGGGAGCTGAATCATACTTGATTTACATTTCTAGGTGTGCATGGAGAGAAGCCCGACATCTACGGTGTTGAGTCTTCCCACCCAAGAACGAGGCATGGCCCGCTGGTCCTGCATACCTCATCCTAAATTTCCCAGTAAAGCCTTGCACTTCCTTTTTGTGGCTCATGCGTGTAACTGATGAGGCACCCGCAGTGTTCTCGTGTGTGTCACCAAGGGGCGAGGGCCAGCAGGGAGGCTCTCGGGAGCAGAACCTGCCGGCCAGGGGGCATAAACACACCTTCCAGAGGGCTGGCTGCGGCCTGAGTCATAGGCCATGGGTGACATGACCACCAGGGGACCAGGTGGGGCCCACTCTGAAGAGCTCTGGCCTCCGAGATAGGCTCTGTGAGGAAGTGGCGCCCCCAGTAGACGGTGTCCAGGTCCGGTGGGCTGTTTGGGCTGGCCCCTCCCCCAGTCTGTGTGGCCCTCGACACGGCATCTGAGGGCCTGGAAAGCAGCCTTGCTTCCGAGAATCGCCTGCACTTAAGAGTACCCAGCGCAGGAGCTGTGAGGACGCCCATGGCCGACGTCAAGGTCAGTGGGGCGACAGCCAAGGAGACCCACGGCCCAGGGTGGCATGAGATACTGTGGAGGGGTGCTCTCCATGCCCCCAGCTCCGGCTGTGGGGAGGAGGAGGCCTCCGGCAGACAAAGGCTGTCCGCCCCTGGCTGGGGTACACCAGACCTCAATGTTAGCTGGATTCTCTGGGAGGAAAACTGAAAGGAAACATTATACATTCCCTTTCTTATTAACATCTACATGTGCCTTAACCACGTCCATGCTGGAGTCCAGATCCTCAGTGGGCTCAGTCAGAGCTGAGGCTCCATGAGGGTGGCCCGGGCCAGGCAGGTGGCTGGCTAGAGAGGTGGCCAAAGTCAGCCCTTGCAATTAGGATTTCACTGTGGCTTCTGAAATTTTTCTCTCCTCAGACTACAGGCCTTCCCGTCCCCCAGCGCAAACTGCTGGGTTTCAGCCGCCTTGCTGAGGCTGGTCAGGGTCAGCTTTTCCCAGTTCTCCCCCCAGAGCTCCATTCTCCATCCACCCAGGAGCGGGGAAGGGAACCGGGTGTCGAGCGCAGGGGCAGCTGTTCAGCATGAACCCGGCCTCCCGGCGGGATGATTAACAGTGATGACAGCAGCAAGGGCCTTCAGTGTTTATGACACACCGGGCACCATTCTAGATGCTCGTGTTCACTAGTCCACTTAATCCACCTGGGACCCCAAAGCGGTCTCGCCCATACACGGCCAGGACATGTCAGCACCTGGCTGCAAGGCCAGCCTCAACCGCTGTGGACGAAGGTCCTGCAGCAGAGGAGGACATCTCCCCATGCACTGGGTATTCCTCCCATTTGGCGGGGGAGTAAACTATGGCTCCTACGGGCCACGTCTCCTGCCCCAGCTGCATAGCCAGCTGCTACAGAGCTGGCTAGAACCCGTGTCCTCACTCTCGGGGCCTGCCTGAAGTCTCTTCAGATGTGGAGTCTGGGGCAGGGCTGCAAGTTGGCACCTTCACCTCCTTGGGGGTGCCATCCTCCCTCTGGCCCTCATTCAGAGAGACCAGGACAGCTTGATACCCACGCTTCCGCATCTAGGAGGTCCAGGCGGAAAGGATGGGAGGCCTTCCCCGGCTAGCAGGCAACTGGATGTGAGGGCCAATGAGCTCCTGCCTTCCTTCCGGGGGTGGTTATCAGCTCGAGCTCACTCTAGAACATTCTGAATTAACCAACAGAACCGTGAGAGGAGGGAGGGGGTCAGGGTGGAGACAAGCGGTGGCATGAAGATTACACAGGTCACCCCATCATACTCCTTCAGGGTGTGACTCTCAGTGCATCCAGTTACTGAATACACACAACCTTTCTCTGAGGGGCCCTTCCGGGCAGGGAGACACGCACTGCGTGTGCCGGGCAGATGGGTGATGAGGGACAAACCACCTGGTAAGACAGAAAGAGGCGTCCCTGGTTACCTGGCTGCAGGCCGAGCATACCGTTTGGGTCCCACCAGGCCCTGCTGGCATAGAGCCAGCCCCACGCTGCTTTCTTCCTCTACGTGGAATGTTTTCTCTGCGTCAGGCGCGATGCTAGGCACCTGTACTTGGCTCACCTTACATTACCAGTGCTTTACAGATACAGAGACAAGGTTCAGGAAGGCCAAGGATCTTGCCCAAGGTCACAGCGCCAAGGAATAAGGAGCTGCAGGCCAGCCCAGGTCTGCCTGGACTGGAGGTTAAAGCCCCCCCCACCCCCCTTTTCTGCCGACTCCCCTGCTCACTGCTGCCTCTG